ATTTCTCTGAAAGTTTTCATGGTAGAATACCGGAACGTGGTATGGCGATATATGAAATCAATCTTATACTCATGGAGAAAAATTGGCTATTTATAAAGAGGTTGTGGCGCCGTACAAACGTATATACTTGTATACATATATAATTCTTCTGTGTGTGTGTTTGTGAGCGAAATCTTTCTAAATGCCCGGACCGATTTTAACGAGGTTTTTTGGGTGCTTTTGAGTGGCTCTCTGGATAGTGTAGTTTCACAATCTTAGTTATGATCCACTTTGGCTAATATTCAAAATATGTATTGGAATCGGTAAAGGCAATACTGTTGCCAAAAAGGGTTGCCAAGTGGTTGCTAATGAAATTCGGCGAAATCTGACTGTAACCACGCCCCCTTCTCATATAACGGTATTTTCGAAAAATGCAAAAACTAAATATTGTATCCAAATTGTTGAAAATTAATATGTGAAGTAGAATTTTGGTACAAAATAATATTATGAAATTTTTGGAAGTGACCTCGCCCACTTATGATGAAATACTGTTTCTTAGTAGCCGCGTCACCAGTCCTTACAAAACTCGGTACGAGCCTTGCTTAAGATCCAGCTAAGAAATGTGTATCTCGGTAACCGATTTATCAATTTTTACCAAACTTTGTGTATTTAATAGCCTTGGTACGAAAAGCAATTCGTTGACAATTATTTTAATCGGACTCAAATTGCACCGGTTTCCCGTCTAACGGTAATTTTCGGATATACGAAAACTCCTATATTTCAATAACTGAGGTCGTTAATTTACTCTAAGCTAATACCTACTTACAGCAATTTCCTAACACTATTGCCTTAACCGATGCCAAGACTTTTAGGTAGTTTAAAGAAGGTTGGAACTACTTCAATTGATACCTGCGACGGGTATATAAAATTCGGTTTCGCTCGAACTTATACTACTTTACTTGTTTAAGTTGGGCTAAATGACAGCAGTGTAAAAATTTCATAATGATTGGTTGAGCGGCTAAAGCCATGGTGGAGAGTATTCTATCATTCTTGGGTTAAAGCGTGAAAGCGTAGCAAACAAACAAACTCACCTTCGGTCTAGGCTGCTTGTCTTAATAGGAAAACCACTTAACTTTGCCGTCACTACTCCGTTATGGAAAAAGAACTTTTTTTGTGAAAAGATCAAATACTTATCGGAGCCTTATGTTCAATACCCTCTATCTTCACTTTTCACAAAAATCAGATTCCGATATAAAAATCCCCTTAAAACTTAACTGTCATCGGTGATATTAATGCTCACCTTGTATAACGCTTAACAGAAGAATTTACTATTAAATTGCAAAGTCAGAGTTAACATAAGTGACGACAGGTAAACTCCAGATGGGTTCTAAAATCACAAAGTAGTTTTCGGTGAAAATCGTTGATTTTTGATAATTTGTTTGCGTGATACCGCAAAGTAATTTTTTATATGGAAAAGAGTGTACAACACCGTCAGCAATAAAATTACCGAAAATCAACGCCAATGAAAAGTTTGTTGAATGTTTTTAATTTTAGCATAAAATCTGAAATTTAGATTTATATGGTATTTGTTGGATACCTTCATTATCCCTTGTTCATGTACCCATATGAGTTGAATTCTATAATGCTGGGCTTCTCATTCAAAGATCCTATTCCCACGCCAATGACAAAACTAATCGTATGTCATTGTCTGAACTACCGCGACCAAAACCATGCCGCAAATTGATTTTAAGCGCTCTAATGATGACAACTGTCATTGTTATTGCTATGACCTACTGAGTGCCCGACGGAGCCTTTTGCATGGAATCGGCTGCAAAGATAGCAGAAAACCCGTTTTCGGCGGGACTCACAGTGGTTCGGAAAGCAGATCTAGCTGGACGAAAGTCAACATTTTTTTGTTTTAAAATACTTAATGGTACTTGGAATACATTCCTGACAATACATTCAAATAGAAATTGCATTTATTAAAGCATTAACATATGAAAACAAACAAAAAAAGGTAAGTCAACGCCGCCTATTTGAGAACTCTATTTTAAAAAGCTGTGTTAAAACAGAAAAATACTTGGAATTATAAAAACTTTGGTTATGTAAGAGTTAAAAAAAATAGTAACTCGCGAATTTTCTGCTTTCTGAAATTAAAAAAATTATACAACAGGCATGCGAATCTTTAAGCGCTGTTATAAAATTTGTTCTGAAATTTATTTGTTTTTCTTGCTGTGATCTTAAATTTCAGTCATGGTAAATAAAATCTTAAGAAGTGAGTGGTTTGACATTTGGAGAAGTGTTGCTGAAACTTCTAAAAGACAACAAGGTGTCCGTGATTATGTGATTAGTAAATTGAAAGAAATATCTGATGAAAATGCTCGCTCCGAAGTAAATAAAGTGAATTAAGTAAATGACTTTAGATTCGTAATCAGCAACCCAGAAACCCCGCAGATACCCAGTTACATAGAAATCTACCGATTTTCTTAAATTTTCGTCCGCCATATTGGATCCGCCAATTTGAATTTTTGGTAAATGACTTTAGATATGTAATTAGCGACCCAAAAATCCCCTAGGTAAGAAGTGGCGTAAAGATCCATCAACGAGTATTTGTTTAAATAGTTTCGTCCAGCTAGATTTGCGATCCTGACCACTGTGGGACTGTCCCGGATTTAAAAGCTACGTATCGGTCCCGGCACGACACGGGATTACAACAAAACTGTTTATAAGTACATCAAACTAAAGGTAAAGTGTGTTGTTGTGACCGCACTAAAGAAAATTAAAAACATTTCAGGAAAGAAATTTGCAGGTAATGTTCACAGCTTTATATCTTTGGTTTGTAGAGCTAAGAAAGAAGTCGGACTGTGGACCACGAGTCGCAAAAGGGTCCTGGTAGTAAAGACGTTGTCAGGAAAGAGATTTTAGCATTAAATTGCTGATACAGGAAGAAATTCTTGTTTAACAAATCATTTGCATATGCGTCAAAAACGGAGCCCATAATGACAATCAATATTCATTTGTATGTGAGGCTAATTCCATTTCTCACGTGTATATTGCGCATTTACTTTAATAGTGTCATAACTCAAGAAAGCAATACTCGAGAAAAACGGCTTTAAAGTTCTAAATTTACATATACTCCCATAGTAAAAATGTATAAAGAAAAAGAGAAAATAAGGCAAGAAAAAAGTGGTTAAAGTCCTCTAAGATTTAAAACAAAGCGGTCTTATGTAAATTTGTGGTTAATTCTAAAGGCTAGTATGCAACTCTCAAGAAAAGCAAGAACTCCATATAAAATGGCGTACAAGAAACGGCTAAGAAATTTTCTTGTGTAAAATTTTCTTGAGGCAGTACGCAGTTCTTAAGAAATTTGCTACGCTTTTCTAAAGTATTTTTTGTGAAATAATTATTCTATTCTTTCTTGAGGAAAGAGGGAGGCAACAGGCTGGTGAAGTATCAGATGTCAAAATTCCTTGGACACACACGCACACGAAATAATGACAATTTTTTTCTTACTGTTTTCTTGAGAGCTGCATACTGGCCTTAAAAGTAAAATTCTTGTAGTTTTTCAATCATGGTTGTTATTATTACTTTAATGGAGTTTAGTTATCACTTTTCGTTTTATAATTGGAATGAAAATAGAAAAATCATCTTCTACACCAAGAAAAGAATCCACAATTCGTATTCTAATTCTTCTAGTTGAAGGATTATTCGGCTTATAAGTATTAGATAACGTTTTTTTTGTACATATTTCTACAAATTACATTCAACGTAACTTATGGTTCATAAAATGAGACCCTTCAAAATATATATATTTATTCTATTGCTATATCATGCTATGCAAGCGAAATCGAATAATAAGAAAAAACTCAAATAGGTACGTGTGTATCACGCACAGAATAAGCGTGTATTAAACAGCGTTCGCCATTGCGAGTATATATGATTAAAATATTTAGTTGAACAACAAACTATAACGAGTGGAGGCAATTTTAACAGTTATCTTTTTTTCGAAAACAAAAATTTTTAATAAAACTATTTTGTAACAAATTAAATTAGTTACTTAATTAATTTTTTTTTGCTTAATTTGCTATTTAATTTATGTTTGCATGGAAAATTGAGTTGAATTGCAAAAAGCAAAATTTTTTAATAATTCACATAAATTTTTAGCTCAGCGTCAAGAATGCGCACATCGCCATAACTAAAAAGTGAAATTTGTTTTTGCGTGTTTGTTCCCGGACTATGCAAGCGCATTTTCGGATCAGCGATTAATTAGTGAAGCACACTCTCGAAATTGTTGCATACTATCGAGAGCCAGGTTGCTGAAATGCACTTGTGCATGCGCTCAAAGGCCTGGCTTCAATCAACACAAAAACGGTCAAATATTTTGTTTTCATATGCATTTATTTTTTTATAAAGTATTTGAGTAGAGTAAACATTTCGGTTAACATGCCGCAATAAAGCGAGTGGGAGATTTGTATGTATGTGCATTGCTTTTTTTTTTCTAATTTTACTAATCTAACCTTATATTTATTGGACTCCTATTTATTTTGCTGCAGGCATACAACATTTTCTAATAGAGATTTTTTTTTATTTTGTATTTTGTTTGCCCTTTTTCTGTAATTGTAAACATAAAATAACTTCTAGTTAATATCGGATGATTTTTTATGATATTATTTCTATTAGATATTTTAATTGGAAATTTTTCGTGTAAATTCCCGACATTATTTGGCAATTATGAATGCATACAAGGCAGCTATGTACATATGTATATTTTTTTTGGAAATTTGTGTATTTCATATCTTTGACTACGTATCTGTGCACGAGTATGACTGTATGTTTGCATACATATTCGTATGTGTGTAGCTTATTTTCGTATATGTATTTAAAATATGTGTGTGTTTTCTTCTCGATATTGTGCATTTTGTATTGTAAATCAATTATACTGATATGTTATGTGAAATTTTCGTAGTCTACTCGTACAAACTAAATATATATTTTTTGGTTTCTTTTTCCTCTCGTTACAGGTAAGACTCGATGAACAACTTTTATGTAAATTAAATACTTTGGTAAGCGAATATACATACATATAAACATGATCATACATATGTACATAGATGTGCTTTATTATTATTGTTAAAAATTGTTGGCAATTTCTGTTGACATCATCGTAATAGAAATCATATTTTCGACGGTTCAGTGGAAGATCGACCTATCTGGGCAACGGTTCAAAAATGCCTTATCTTAGAAAACTTTTCAAGAACACCCTACTTCCGAATTTGTTTGAAGAACGCTATATTTCAGAATTTGGTTCAAAAATGGGCTATCTCAACTGAAAATGTTTGGAAGGTAAAAGGAAAATGTTTGGAAGATAGGGCGTTTTTCAATCAAATTCCAAGACATAGCGTTCTTCAACCAAATTCTGAAGTAAGGCGTTCTTCAGGGTATTACCCAACTGATTGCCGAGATAGGTCGATTTTACACCCAGCCGTCGTTATAGAAAACTGATATCTGTACACATGTAGATTGGTGATAATTGAGGTAAATGTACTAATTTCCATTTTATATTTTTTCCTTTATGTGAAGCAGAGATGTCAGTAGCCGCGATTTTTTTTTTTGTTTTCGAATAGAAATGTACCGGTGGGATTTTTCCATACATTGGCGTTAAGGAGATAATATCTATTGCTCATTGAGCTAACTAGTTGTGCTCAGTTAAATTCTATCCTTTCCCTTTGCTAAAGCGACTGTGCATATTCGTGAATCAAAAAACTAACTATTATTATGTCATTTGTTCAAGTGTGGCGTAAAACCCAAAGTTGCCAATATTTTTTTACGTTACGATTCGTTAGCCTTCACGGCTATGCTCAAATGTATGGTTGTAATTTTAGAGCTTCACAAAAACGTTTATTGCACGAGAACCAATGAAGCGATTTCAAAGAAAAGTGTGGCGTTTCAAAGACAGATAAATTTTTGGAAGTAACCGATTTGGTTTTTGTCGTAGAAACAACGGTAAATATTGGCTTATTTTGGGGTAAATTTTGAGCCTTTAAAGTGCTCTAGCAACTTATGATTTGCAGATGTAACTTTCATTTTCGTGATTTAGGTTCTTTGGAGTAATACAAAATCTGTCATGTACAAATTGTATACAATTTCGACAAAAATTGAGCATTTAAGGCAAAAAATTGTGGAAAAATTTGCAAAAAAAAAGTATGTATGTGTAGGTATTTCGGCTTTTTTGATGGCGCAATATTTTTAACCTAAGCGCTGCGTATGTACAGTATCGGTCATATCTATAGCACGCCATTTCAAAGTGATATTGTGTGCAACTTATGTTTATTTATTTATTTTTGAGAATTTTCAATTAAAATACAGTTCTTTCTCTAACAAACCCCATATAAACCCAAGCTTAACAATTTGTAGAAAACTTCAAAAAAGTGCAACAAATTTTCACCTAAATTTCAAACTTTTTTCTCGGAAGTGTTTGAATTTTTCTGAATACACAGTTTTATAGCCTAATCAATTTTAGTGTGATAATGTGCAAGTTTCAAGTGACTGAAAGTTACCGTTGATTTTTTAGAATTTTTTTCGCCAAAGGTGTTGCGGTTTTCATCCATATACAAATAAATTGAGTTTATTCATTATATGAAAGCCAATGCGACAAAAAAAATTCTAAAAAATTAACGGTAATTCGTAGCCACTTGAAATTTGCATATTATAAGACTAAAATAGCAATGGCTAAAAAACTGTTTACTCAAAAAAATTCTAACACTTCCGAGAAAAAAGTTTGAAACTTAGGTGAAAATTTGTTGCCATTTTTTAAAGTTTTCTACAAATTGTTAAACTTGGGTTTTTGTGGGGTTTGTTAGAGAAAGAACTGTATTTTAATTGAAAATTCTTAAAAATAAATAAATAAGCATAAGTGCCACACAATATCACTTTGAAATGGCGTGCTATAGATATGACCGATACTGTATGTAAATACATACATACATACATGTAAATACATACATACGTAGATATTTTATTGCAGTTAGTGTGGAGCTCTTTTTCTTTTAGTAATTTATGTAAGTACATTAGACTGCATCACTCCCCATACAAAAAATAATCGGTACTATTTTTCCATTGGAATTATAAAATCTACTATATTTTAAGACGTCCACCAAAATATTTCGGAAAAATATTAAGATTTAAGTGAGCTGGACCGATTTGAAAATACCTCCAAAAATGGTTTTTTTTTATGAATAAAAATAGTTTCTTAAAGATTTTTTTTGAAGAAATCCCCTCAAATGACAAAACGAATTAAGCTTAAAATATTTGCATAAAAATATTAAAAAAAAATTTAAAAAAATTTTAACGGTCGTAATGATGATGCTGTTTTTAACATTTTTCAAAGATTGGTATAAGAAAAACTTGAATAACTGAACCTAAACTCTTCCGATTTAGACTTAAGAGGTGTCATTGGAAAGGTATTTTCTCACCCTTTTCATTTATTTGCTAATAAACTTATTCAAAGGATGGAAGAGAAAGGTAGGAGAAACGAACCTCATTCAAAGTTGAATTAAGATGTTTTGGTATTCGAAAAAAAAGATGGGACACGAATGACGTTTCTTTTGGCCAGAAATGAAAACGGTGTGAAAATACCTTTCTACTGAGATCCCATAAGTCTAAATCAGAACAGTTTTGGCCCAGTTATTCAAGTTTTTCGTAAATCAATCTTCGAAAAAAGTAAAAAAACAGCATCAAAAATCTCATTCTTACGATTCCGTTGAAAAGATTTTTAAATATTTTTATGCAGATTTTTTAAGCTTATTCTAATTTGTCATCTGAGGGGACATTTTTCAAAAAGTTCTTTAAGAAACTATTTTTATTCATATAAAAATTCATTTGTGGAGGTAATATTAAATCGGTCCAGCTCGCTTAAATCTTAATATTTTTCCGAAATATTTTAGTGGACGTCTTAGAATATAATACATTTTGTAATCCCGACGGAAAAACAGCAACTTTTTTTGGTGATGCAGTCTAATGTACATACAAATGCATAATACGCATCATATCAGATCTGTAGCGTTCGTTGGATTTTACATGATGAGGTAAAGAGCCTGTGTATGTGCATTAACTTCTTTTTTTTTCAAAAAGAGTTGCTACCTGATAAAAAAACTAAATTGAAATTATTTTTAAGTTAAATCAATTATTACACTATGACTATCGTTGAAATGGTTTTGAGAAGTCTTTATTTCTTAATTATATGTAGGAGGGTTGCCACCTATTTCAAAAAGCAAGCTCGACTTAAATAAAGGCCAAAAATGTAAATGTATATCCGGATATTGATGTCAGACGATAGAGGTTAATTAAATTACTTCAATATGAATATAAATCAAAATTTCTTTGAAGAAACTTTATTTCCTACTTGCATGTAGGAGGATTTCCGCCCGATTTTATAATTGATTTCAATTTGAATTAAGAGTATTAGATAATTTTAATATGTGCCACAATACAAGTGTGAGAAGGAAAAGGTTAAACGAGGTTTGGGTTTAAAAATCATTTAAACAGGATTGCCGCCTGTTTGGAAAGTCAAACTAATTTATTTTACATGAAATATTGAAATTCTATCATCAAACAAAGCAGTATTAATAAATGTTTGGTTTGAGGATTTATAACATTAAAGAGGGTTTCCACCTGTGTAAAAAGTTAAACTCAAATTTTTAACAATTCAAATGAATTATAATGGAGTTATGGGTTGACGGGTAAAAAAAGGGGCTTAATAAAGCGAATACGGCTATGTTTAAAATCCTCGTTAGTGCCAAGCAAAAGCACATGTTTAAAACCTGTTTCATTTTCATAAGGAATTCAATGACATGTTTATAAATTTAGGTATTTGTCTTAAGTCCGCATATGTTGCATAAGTAAAAGTAATGGAACCTAAATCGCAACGTCAAAACAGACATTGACGTAAGGCCCTTAAGAGTTTTATGAAATTTAAACTAGTGGTTTTAAAAGATAAGAAGATGTATGTACATAAGTAAGATAATCATCTAAAATGGTATGCTGATGAGTCAAACTCTTTAGGGTGTCGTTAGTGCATAAAAACCCGTTTATGTACACGCCAGAGCACCTTGGATTTTTCTTCTACCGGTTGAAGGCTGTACAGCGCTATAATTGAATTTTAAATAAACCCATCCATTTGCTGACAACTACATTTTTGCTGTTTTTGTTGCTCTCTTCTGCTTATTTGCTGCAAGTTGACTGCCACTGTCTGCGTATGTACTGTAAATAAATTTAGTAGGTTTTGCTTACAAACTTAACATCAACCGGGTACCTGGTACTTAAACTACCACATTTTATGTGGCACTGTGAGTGTTGCTCCCAAAAGTAGCGTCGGCAACAGTTGCAGCAGCTCAAAGCTCTCAAGCAGGTTCTTATGACTACTTGGGCACATAATATATGTACTCGGGTTCGCATATCTTACTCATATTTGCCGCCAGAGTGACTTCGAGCAAGGCTTACCTTAATACACGCGCGCACACAATACTGGCTGCACGTACATACTTACATATGTACATCAAATCAAGCAGTTAGTGTACGGGCCAACGTGTCGTATACGTAATGTAATATTTTTGGTGCGAGTGCTGCTGCTGCTGCTCGCTACTTAAATTCGTACGTTTGCTGACTATTTCGTACTACTTCGTTCATCTTATTGTTGTGCACTTTCAGCACCTTCCTGCACTTCATTTCAGCGTAATTCGCTTTTGTAGGTAACCGCACGGACTCTTGCTTATGTATGTATGCGTGTACGTATGTATGCACATTCAAAGATACATATGAACTTGCTGATATCTGTGTATGAATTGATTTTGTTGCTGCATTCCTTCTTCCTCGTATCTTAGCCTCTTTAAATTGACAGTTAAGAGTGTATTTTCTGCAGATTACTATTTTTTACGGTTCAATAACAGGATTTGCACTCAACTTATATGCGATTTTCTTGTGAAAATGCAACGAAATTTCCCCATTTCTTGCATTCTCTAGATAAGTTCTTTACTTACTATACCTTCTGCTTTTCTACGAAAAGGTT